CAGGGGGAGAAGATGGAGGGGAGCGGGGTAGTGACGAAGGGAGCAGATGAGGTGGAAAATCCCTCCCCCCCCACCCCTTCCCGCAGGAGATCGTCTTGGATCTGCCTATGTGTGCACGCAAGGTTATCAGTAGCTCTCTCTTTCGAAGGTTGCCTATAAGCCAAATGATGCCGACTTCGACTTTAATATGCTAGCACTAAGTTACCACTAATATGAATGAATGAAAAACTGCAAAACGTCGCTTGTTTTAAACTCCACAACGAAAGTAGGGCCAATATCCGCCAGATTATGCCCATCAGCTACAGGAAATATATCGGGGCGCGATCCAGGCAGCTAAGTTTGACGCTGTTTTCTGCCACTAAAAACATTCACTACTTTGCAGTTTGCAGTCTGGTTCTTGAGCTACGAAATTTCCCGAAAGTAAAATTTGGGCGCATGTAAAAGCTGAATTTAAAATGGTAGAATCGCATATGAACAAAAAACATCCTCCTAAAATTTCTATTTTCTATCTTTTCTGGTTCCCGAGTTCTCATGTGCCCGGGAATGAGACGCGGACGTACGTGGAAGTTAAATTCGAGTTGTTGGATCGAATATGGTCAGGTAATACCTCCCTAGCTTCTTGCTTCCTAGCTTTTCTGGTCTAAGACTTAGTAAGTTTTTCGCCAAAAACTTTCACGTGATCGTACGTGAACTTAAGCTTAAGTAAAAAAGCTGCATTTGGCCACCTGAATTGCACGTGAACAGGAAACCTCTTCCCGAAATTTCAGTTCCTAGCTCACTTGATTCCTGAGTTGAAAAACCCGAACAAAATGTACTCGAACTACAAACACCCGCACATACACATACACACAAGTACACACACACACAGACAGAATGTCGACAATATGCGTTCTTTGCAACTGCTACAGCACGGAACACATAAAAATGACTAAAAAATTAGAAGCTGTAACGAAATAGTGGAAGAAACACCTGTGCTTGTAGTACACTTTGTTGAGCAGCCAAAACTGGATCTGCTATATATACCGGAATTACAGGTTGCTGCTGCTGTTGTTGCTGCTGTTGTTGCTGATGTTGTTGCTGCTGCTGCTGCTGTCCAGGAGGCTGGGGAACTGCTGTTGCTGGGATGGTGATGCGTAGAAAGTCATCTGGCAATTCTCCCAAGAAAACCTGTAAAATTGAAAGGTTTTTCTCAAACAATCAAAGAAAAGAACACCAGGCAACATGCTCTTCTGCTCTGATGACAGCCGATATCGGGCAGTGCAGGAATACGACCAACAAAGAGGATAAAAAATGTTGTGTGCCAAGGAAACTGGGAATTTTTTCAGTAAATCTACCGATTCAGTTAATAAACACAGCTTAAGCTCTAAAACAATTAAAAGGTTGTTGTTGCAGCTCTGCTTTACTCTATGACAAAAAGACGAATTCTTAAAATGCTATGACAAAGAAACAGATTCTCAAAATTCCAGTTCCGATTTGGTTTAACCCGGAAGCTGAACGGGCCAAAAATACGAAAATACAGGAAAAAAACGCAAAAACTTTGCTTCGTTAGCATGAATTTCCACATTTGGGTAGCAAATGCGGAAAGAAATAAATACTAAAACTCGGATTAGCCAGGTTGGAAGGCGAGTTGCAATGAACAGAAGGTGGAGGTGAAGTGATAGAGGCGCCGGGATAAGGGCTGAAGGCAAAGGGTGGTGGTTTAAGCCTCGCGGGTGCTAACGAGAAAAATGGGGCGGAATTATTGTTCTAAAAGGAGCGGGGTTTATGAAGGAAGGAGAGGGGCTAAGGGAGATTTTTAATGTTCAGCATTAAACCTGATGGTAAGGGAAAGTTAACAACCTTGCACGAAACACCCAGGAACTCATCTGGATAAAAAAACCCTGCAAAATCAGCTCGAATTCGAACCCAAAAAAGCACAAAAAAGCCAAAAAAGCACAAAAAAAGGCCAAAAAAGCACAAAAATGAGGGCATACTGAGAATAGTTACCAAAAAAGGTATTAAGAGAACTACATACAGAGCTTGGGGCAAGGCCGAACTGTAGGTAACACCTCGGCTGGGGGGAAACAGGAGGCAAATATCCCCCGAGAAACGAATTTGTGCATATTTGAGCTCATCAACTGTAAACTGACCTTCTTTCTTCGTTCGGCCGCACTCGTTTTCAGGAGTTTTGAGGC